CGTGCGTGCGTGCGTGCGTGCGTGCGTGCGTGCGTGCGTGTGTGTGTGTGTGTGTGTGTCTGCACCTTCCCTGAAGGTGGCCCTAAAAGAGGGCCTGGGAAAGTGTCCCTCTACCAGAAGTGGGGAGTCTGGGGTGAAGGAGAGGCATAGGGTTGTTAGGACCCAGAACGTTAGCATACCATCTCCACACTCACAGTGTCTTACCCTGGACCCCACAATGGCTTTTCTCCTTCTGGGATAGCAGAGGGGTGGGGGCGGGGGGGGGGAGGGGAATCCCTTCATTCCTGTTTCTTCACTCAGAAAATGGAGGAAACCGTGTTCCCCCATGCATCAGAAGAATAAAAACAAACAACAAAGAATAAAGGCTACAAATGTGGTCACTCTTCGATCCTTTTGAAAATTTAAGCTGTGTTTATTTTCAGTCCCTTTCTCTCCCATTGTTTTAGCCTTACTAAAAAGCAAAACTTCTTCCTCAAACTTGATATCCCTTTGAGTTACCTACTAGGCCCCATCTCCATCACCACCCCCAACCTCCACCCCTTTACCACCAACACTCTCAAAAGAGGACAAGGAAAAGGAGCATAGGTATTCCTCAGCCTGGTGCTAGAGGATGGCCTGGAGGGCCTCATGTGCACATGGCATTGGCCAAAACAATCCCAAAGATGGGGAGGCACCAAGGAAGGATGCTCAGACGGTACACTGACTGGAGATGAGGGGGATGCTGGCGAGGGTGCATTAAGAGAGTGTATCCTTGGTCTACCTCTTCCAGAGCCCTAAGCCTTTCTATAAAATAGGAATGATCTTAAGGAGTGCTATGAGACTGAAATGCACAAGCCTCCCACAGTAGAGAGCACACAGCAGGTGCTCAGTAAAGTGGTGTCTTCTGTGACCCCATGTCAAGTTAGCTCAGTTTAAGAATACTCCAACGGGGGTAGGGGGACCAGAGAGATGGAGGCTCAGTGGTCAACAGCACTGGCTGCCATTCCAAAGAACTTGGCTTCAACCCTTAGCACCTACATGGTGGTTCACACCCATCTGTAACTAGTTCCAGAGCTTCTGGTGCCCTCTTCTGCCCTCTGTGGGTACCTGTTGTACTTGGCACAGACATACATGTAGACAAGTACCCATATACATACATGTAAAAAAGTACACTCATCATACTGTCCCCAACAACCTACGAAGCAGTGCCTAGTCTGAGCTAGGAACTGACTTCAGTATGACAAACTGAGTTATACTAGCTGGGCTGGGTGTCTGTCTGTCCGTCCCTCTCTCTCTCTCTCTCTCTCTCTCTCTCTCTCTCTCTCTCTCTCTCTCTGTGTGTGTGTGTGTGTATGTGCACGCGCGCACGTGTGTGGGCTTGCGCAAGTGCTCGAGGATAAGTGTGTGTACACATGTGTGCATATGTGTGTGTGAGTGTGTGTACTTGTGCATGCAAGCATGCACTTGAATATGGGAAGAAGGGTGATTCAGGCACATTAAAGCCATTTCTTCAATCTAATGCATGAAGCACACTGATGGGCTATGATAAGGGCTGTAGAAGCACCAAGGAGGAACAGTGACCTCAGCCTGAGGGTCAGCAGGAGGAGAACCCTCCTGGAGTATATGAAGCACTTGGAGTGTGTGTGGCAGGGCTGGGAGGAGGTGTGTGAGCAGGAGGGAAGGAGTCTTGAGTGTTGCCTGCCAAGCCTGGTGGAAGCATGTGGTCATTCCCCAGGACCTGACACTCAGATCCTCACACTCACACGAGGGGTTCTTCCTGACCTCATTTCTTGGCATTTGTTTCCTTTAATTGTTTCATATATTTGAAGAAAAACCCCTGTGTTTTTCTTCTGTTAGTTAAAGGTATAGGGTAAGAATGTCTAATTTCTTCTACAGTCAAGGGGTAGAATGGCTATGTGATCAGGGTGGCCACAACCAGGTCAGATTTGAGGATGCTCAGACCCAAGTTAGGGCTAGGGGCAAACGGAACAGGCAAGGAGTAGGGTCAATGAACACTTTTTGGTCATGCAGAAAAGCAATCGGCGACCAACTTACCACACCAATGGAGAAGTAGTTGTTCATGATGTTGTAAGGGACCTGGTCTCCATTCTCCACCTCTTCTCTGGGAATGACTTCTAGATACCAACGGTCCAGCATCACCAAGGGGCTCTGTTCAATTTCCTTTAGGATTTTCGTCAAGCTGCCCCCTTCGTAACCTGCGGACAAGAGCATGGTGTGTGTCACCAGGGCAGAAAGGTGAAGTTGTTGCTTATTCAGAGCAAGTAACTCTTTAGGCATTTGTGGCGAGAGGACTTCTGGGTGTCTTTGGGCTGGAGACACTTGTGTTCTCTGAGCCAGGGAGAAGGAGAGGACAGTGGGGAGTAATTAGCAAGAGTTTGGGGAAGAGTGGGGAAGCCTGAAAGCTAGGAGTGCAATAGGTGTTGGCTGGAGGCAGGGATGCTCTGGAGCTGAAGCAAGCCCTAGAGAATGGGTAAACTGATGTCATTTGCAGGAAATGGATAGATCTAAGAATTATCATGAGCGAAATAAGCTAGACTTAGGTATTCCGTTTTCTTTCATATGTGGAATTGAGATTAAACACATGTTTACATATATCTCAATATCTATCATCCATCCATCTCCCCATCTATCATCTGTCTGTCTGTCTATCTATCTATCTATCTGTCTATCGTCCATCCATCGTCTATCCACTCACCCACCCACCTGACATGGAAGCAGAAGGTGGATTATTGGAAGAAGAAGGGGGTAATAGGATGTAGAGCAGGAGAAGGTATAGGTTGTATATATTAAAGAACAGGATAAACGTGTATGAGAAAGACTTAACAAAACTTACTCTTTTATACAGTAAATACACCACTAATTGGAAAGGAAAAGGAAGGAGAGAAGGAAAGGGGGAGGGGAAGACTGGTTATTGGTTAGCTGCAGGCCTGGGAAGTTGTGTGTAGAAGGTGGACAGTGTGGTGGTAAGCATATTGCTAAGATGACTCTTGGGTCTGACAGCTGCCTTTTTCTCCACATGAGAACACGGGTACTGGCTGTCCTGGCCTGGTCTGGTGTTGCTCCCTTAATTGATCAACCACCGGTAGTCATTGGTCTTCTGCCTGCTGGCTTCCCCCAGCAGAGCTGGGCTCTGTGCTCTGCCGCAAACCCAGCTCCATTAGCTGTTTTGTTGGCAAAGTCCTTGACCATTGCTCTAAAAGCCATCACCACTCTTTGTGTTCTACTTCATCATGAAAGCCCATAGCCCCAGGAGCCTGATAATCCAGATGTGCCCGGTGTCTCATGAGTAATTGGTGATGTGGTATTTTAGTCTGCATTCTGAATCCATGGATGGGGACAAGCACTCGGGAGGGGCTGGAGGAGATTTGTCTTTATTCTATAATTGACCATGTCCATGACCTCCATTGACCATGGAGGAGGCTGGCTCTAAGCTGATGGCTTCAGGACTATGGTCAACGTGAAGAACCTATGCAGGATGCTGGAACCTAGAGGGGGGCCTCCTGTTCCACACTCAGCACAGAATGGCAGGATCATGGGTCAGAGATGACTGTTGTTGACTATCCTCCTGTGGAAAGTGACCTATTAAAGGTAAGTCTGCCTAGCTCTGCACAGCATCCCCCAAATCCCAAATGCTTGACTCCAGTGTGACATCAGAAGCATGCAGACTCACCTCCTCCCCAGCGGAGACATCGAGCAAGGTCATTCCCTGTTCCAAGAGGCAGGACAGCCACTGGTGGGTGCTTTGTGAAGTTGGCCTTGTCTGCAACCCACATGAAGGACAGACATGCCATGTGGTTACAGATGGCTGCATTAGCTTGTAATCCCCACCTGTTGCTTGCCTCCCCTACCCCCACGGCAATCACAGAATCCTTCCTACAAAGGAGACCACACCACTTGCTGAGGCCATCCACAGCATTTGCAATGTGTTAGCTGCTATGAGTTTGCTGAAGTTGTCAATCAATTCTTCATATTGAGCTAAATCTGTCTCCCCATAATTTGTACCTATTTATCCTAAACATGTCTCAATTCTGTTCATCAAGCACATGGCGCAAAAACATTGGCTCATGAGATTTTAATACTTAATGATGACCAACATTTGTTCCTGTTTATTTCCCACAGCAACCTAGCAAAGATGGAGGCTTATGAAGGAAAAGTGATTCCAGAGCCTGGATCCAAACTCAGCTCTCTGGTTTCAAGCCCACCCTTCCTTCAGGGGCTAAGCAGGGCATAGTATACCTGGCAGTAGGGAATGGTGGGGGTCTTTGGAAAACTGACAAAGCTCATTGAAAGCACTCTCTCTCTCTCTCTCTCTCTCTCTCTCTCTGTGTGTGTGTGTGTGTGTGTGTATGTGTGTTGGTTTTTTGAGACAGGGTTTCTCTGTATTGTTTTGGAGCCTGTCCTGGAACTCGTTCTGTAGACCATGTTAGCATTGAACTCACAGAGATCTGCCTGCCTCTGCCTGCTGAGTGCTGGGATTAAAGGTGTGCGCCACCAATGCCTGGAAGCCATTTATATTTTAAAGCTTAAGAAACAGCACTGCGCTAAAGTAGGAAAGCCTCCAGGTGTTACCTGACACCCACATACCAGTTTATTATCTCATGACTCCTGAGCTTTCCAGAATACAGATCCACAGTCTTTTTTCCTTCATGGTTGTGCAGGAGCGTGACCAGAACAGTCAGGGAAAAAATCACAGTCAACTGTGCTTTTGTCTGCTGTAGTCTTCAGCATGTTGCCAGGGCAGGGAAGGTTGGAGGGGGAGATACAGGTACCCATTGGGTTTTGAGGGACATGTGCACAGACCCTGCCCTATAAGGTGCTCAGGATATTAGCCATGAGTGGGGTTTAGAGAGGGCTGCAGGGATCAGTGTGGGAAGCTCAAACCCCGGCTTCCCTGGCAGAGGAGTTCAGAGGCACTACCAGTAGCCTGACCTGTGTTGAAAGTGGCTGGTCTCAGGGCTGAGATTACCACTGACGGGCTGAGGTGGAAAATGGAGTGATGTAATGAAAGCTCTGAGTGTTCTTGACATGTGACTGGAGTCTCCCTGTGTTCATCTGGAGGGCACTGTTTCTTTATGCCTGTCTCTTTTCCTGTGGTTGCCACCTTGACAGGTATAGCCATCCTTACAGCACTGAGCCCAGTGTCATCCTAATGTTCCCTTTTTCCTCAACCCATTCACCCGCACAGCACTTCCTATGAGCTGTCGCTGCAGCAGATTTCCCAGCAACCCCTTCTCCATCCCCATGGAGACACTGGGCCGATTTCTCCACACTGTTCTGTTCCACAACTTCCTTTTCTCTCTCTGCCTCCAGGTCCACCCTCCTAGTGTGTTTGTTCTCTGCATTCTGCCCTGGAGGGCAATCTCCACATTAGTGCCCTGCTTTACCTGCTTTCTCAGCATGCCTAGGTCTCAGGATCGAGGTTCTAGCCTCCACCTTCAGCACACTTAGCTTTCCACCCTGCCAGGAAACCATCCCGAAGTGTTCTCAGTCCTAACACTCCTGCTTCTCAGCACAGAAGACACCGCTTGTCACCTGGGCCAGCACTTGATGACTCTTCTATGCTCCTGGAGCATCAAGGGTGGTGGCTGGATCATATCTTATAACTGCTCACTTGTTTGTTCCCTGAATGGACCGAAACTTCCTGGGAGAGTGCGTTTCATTTGCCATGGCCTGTCCACTTGGATCCACTGAGCCTTGCCATACGCCAGGTGCAGTGGGAGTGGCCCTGGTCAGGCTCTCATGGTGCCCACAGTCTGTAGTGGAGACGCGCTGTCTGAGATCTTTGCACACATATGTATGATTGTACCTTTTTACTGGAAAGGGAAGGGCAATGGCCCTGTTACAGGGTGACTGTGGCTGGCTGGTGTGTAGGAGAGCCCCCTACTCCCCGTAAGAGGCTACACTTCAGTTGAGGCCGGGGAGCACTCCAGATGGGAGGAGCAGTTGTGTGTGGAGCAGGGCTGGGTGGCTGGAACTCCATCAGACAAGGAGAGGAGGGAAAGCAATGACTCAACTACCTCAGCCCTGCGCGTCATTAGAAGAGTGTCATTTCCCAAAGAACCACAGGAAGTGTTTGGTGTCTTTATGCACACCATAAACCCACTGATGTTAGGCTAAGAGTATTATGGCTGTAGCGAGGGAGGTGGGAGTGAGAACCCCAGTGGGGTGGTGGAGATCACAGCACAGGACTCAAATGATGAATGAAGGGAGCCTCTCACTACACCTTCTTCCTCCCTGGCTTCTCTTTGAACCATCAGTCTGTGTGAAAATGTCTAACGCTCCTTCCATCTCACATCTTTCTTTTTTTCTGAGCTATATCTGACTCCAGTGTTCTCTGCAGAGGAATTTTGTATAGTGCTTCTCCAAGGGCTGCTTCCTTCCTCTCAATGAGTGGGACTAAGGGGACTGTGCGGAGAGCCCGAGACTGCGGCCATGAGCTGCCTTTCCTCCCACAGCTGCTAGATGGAAGTCTTTCCTGTTCCCAGAAACTTCAGAGTCCACAGGGGCAGCAGGGTGGTGTGTGTGTGTGTGTGTGTGTGTGTGTGTGTGTGTGTGTGTGTCTGTGTGTGTATAATGTGTGTGTATGTGTCCAATGTGTGTGTGAGAGATATGTATGTATATGATGATGTGTGTGTGTGATGTATATGTGTATGATATGTGTAGATGTGTATGATGCATGTGTGTACGTATACATCCGGTGTGTATCATGTGTATGATGCATGTGTGTGTGTGATGTGTCTGTATATGATGTGTGTGTGCATGTATCTGGTGTGTGTGTGTTCTGTACGTATATGATGTATATGTATGCATATATCTGGTGCATGTGTGATGTGTATGTATATGATTTGTGTATGTATATATCTGGTGTGTGTGTGATGTGTATGTGTATAGTGCGTGTGTGTGTGTGTATGTATATGATGTGTGTGTGTGTATATTGTGTGATGCGTATGTATATGATATGTGTGTATATATATGTGTGATGGTATGTGTATAGTGTGTGTGTGATGTGTATGTATATGATATGTGTGTATGTTTATATCTGGTGTGTGATGTGTATGTATATGATATGTGTGTATGTTTATATCTGGTGTGTGATGTGTATGTATATGATATGTGTGTATGTTTATATCTGGTGTGTGATGTGTATGTATATGATATGTGTGTATGTTTATATCTGGCATGTGTGTGGGGGGGCATGGGAACCAAAGCCTACCATCAGGGAGTAGCAGGAAGCTGGTGTGCCTTCCCCTTTCCCACTCTGAAGGCCTCACCTTCCCTGCCTGACTTGGCTGGGGTCTAGCTCTGGCCAACCTTGCTTCTTCTCATCCTTTATCAACTGAGTCCCAGATGCCAGCAGACCTTGTTGCTCCTGCCCCATAAAGACATACAGGATCATACACTCCTCACAGCTTCCTGTTTCCACTGTGGCTCAGCCCTGGTCACCTCTCACTTGGGTCACTTTGAGAGCCTCCTACCTGGTCTCTTTGCTTCTGTTGTCACTAGCATGCCACATTCCTTCTTTGCTTAAAACCCTGATGTCTCCGGACTGTCCCACTCTAAAAGCTATGCTCTACCTAATACCTTACCTAACTTCTGACCTCATTGCCTCTGCTTCAACCTCTGCTTCCTCCTGTGTGTACTCTGCTCTTGGCCACGCTGGTCTGCCTTTAGCAACCCAACCTGTTCCTACCTGAGGGCCGTGGCCCTTGCTGTTCCTTTTGTCTGTTTATCCTCTTAGGCATCCACACAGCTTGATTCTCCAGTTCTTGGAAACAGCATCATTTTGTACCCTGTGAGCTCTTTCCTGACTTTTCACGGATTGCAACCCCACTCCTCCTCTAGACTCCTTTGTTCCTTCCTTCTTACATTTTATTGCCCTCTGATGCTCTATACATTTCACTCATTTCTTTGCTGCCTGGTTCTTGCCTCATAGGTTCTGTTAGGACATAGGTGACATCTCTAGTGACTCCAGGAGGTCTTGGCTCATTCAAGGCTGTATTTGTGTGATGACTGACAGAAGGCACGAAGCAGCCCTGGGCTCATGACTCTGATCCTGCCTCTCTGACTTTGATGTCTGCCCGCTCCAGTGCCTCTGTTGGCAGCTTTTCTTTCTGTTCTCTATTGCAGAATTTACCTGGGTTCTGCTTGGGTTAGGACTTGGCTATGCCCCATCCTCAAATTTCACAGATAATCTCCATCACTTTCTGGATCCAGGCAGGACGAGGCTAGAACTCAGGCACCCAGCCCTTCAGCCTACTGCCCTGCCTTTTCCAGGTAGGACACAGTCCAGCGTGGTTTTTCTCTGCTTGCACTGATCTGCACCTTCCAGATATGTTTTCTGGACTCATGCCCCAGGCTTTCATCTCCAACTGATTTGCCACAGACTGTGACCCACACTTAGCTCCTTGGCATTCACTCATCACGTGGCTCTGAATCTCTAGTCCTGCTTCAAATCTGTCTTGTTCTGCTACTGCCCAGCTCTGTCCAGGACACACACACACACACACACACACACACACACACACACACACTACAAAGCCTACAATGAAGCTCTCCCCTTCCCCCCATATCTAATCAAGCATCCATACACGAAAGAGTAGGCACCTGGATGGACAAGGCATGGCTCAATTCCTTCTTTAGTTCATTGTTCTCTGCTGACTTTAAATTTACCTACTATAAATAATAAGTAAAGGCCATCCTGGCCATCCTTACCAATGCAATCCAGAATCCAGCCAACTGTCCCATCTCCACCACAGGCAAGAACTCGGAAGTCTGGGGTATCATGGAAAAAGTTCAATCTAGAAAGAAGAAAGGCCATAGTGGTCTTGTTACTGGGTTGTAATTAACACGTGTGTGTGTGTGTGTGTGTGTGTGTGTGTGTGTTGGGGTGTTTTTGTGTGTGGGGTGTGTATGTGTGTGTTTTGTGTGTGTATGTGTGTGTGTGTGTGTTTTGTGTGTGTGTGTGTGTGTGTGTGTGTGTTGTTGGGGACTGAACCCCCGTTTCCAGCCTATGAAGCAAACTATCAGTGAACTACATTCCAGCCTTAACACTTGATGCCCCTGAGTCAGAGTCTCCAGGTTCCCTGGAATTAGGGGAAAATCTTGATTCTTTGGGGATTGAAAGAGTCACTTACCATTCTGTATCCAGAATTTCCTATGCAGTGTTACCAAATATAGAGAAAAACCAATGGTGTGATTTTGTGTGTTTGTGTGTGTGTGTGTGTGTGTGTGTGTGTGTGTGTGTGTGTGTGTGTGTATGTGTGTGTGCACACACATACAATAACCTCCTAATAGTGAGAGAATCTGCTCCAACATTCAACATAGACAGAAAACCATTTCTAGAATTTCTCAACCATTTGAGAAATTCAGATTTTACATTTTGGCACAGATACAAATAATCCCTAATATTTTGACTCCTCTCAAGCCCTCCTGACTGGTATCTTTATAACCACCTCTTTAAGAGAGAAGCACGTAGGTCCCCTGGAGAAGGTGAAAGGGACAAGATCTCCTGAGAAAATTGGGAGCATGGGGGGAAGGGAGAGGGAACTAGGAGAATGAGAAGAGGAGAAGAGGAAGGGTGAGGAAGACATGATAGGGCAGGGAGGTTGAGCTGGGGGAAGAACAGAAGAGACCAAGATGAGAGATAATATAATAGAGGGAGACATTATAGGTTTAAAGAGAAATCAGGCACTAGGGAAATGTCTGGAGAGCTACAAAGATGACACCAACTAACAATCTAAGCACCAGTGGAGAGGCTACCTTAAATGTCCTCCCCTGATAATGA